CATAAACATTCATTAGAAGAATGGGTGAGGGGCTGGCGCTGTAGTGCAGCAGCTTAACGCCCTGGCCTAAAGCGCTGGCATCCCATATGGGCACCGGTTCTAGTCCTGGCTGTTCCTCTTCTAATCCAGTTCTCTGCTATGGCCTGGGAAAGCAATAGAAGATGGCCCAAGTCCTTGAGCCCCTGCACCCATGTTAGAGATCCGGAAGAAGCTCCTGGGTCCTGGCTTCAGATCAGCGCAGCTCTGGCTGTTGTGGCCAACTGGGGAGTGAACCTTCGGATGGAAGACCTCTCTCTCTCCCTCTGCCTCTCCTCTCTCTGTGTAACTCTGACTTTCAAATAAATAAATAAATCTTAAAAAAAAAAATGGGTGAAGAACATCAACAGACAATTTTTTTTTAAGATTTATTTTGTTTATTTGAAAGACAGAGTTACAGAGGTAGAGAGAGAGAGGTCTTCCATCCGCTGGTTCACTCCCCAGGTGGCTGCAACAGCTGGAACTGTGCCAATCCGAAGCCAGGAGCCAGGAACTTCTTCTGGGTCTCCCCTGTAGGTTTAGGTGTCGCTCCCCCTCTTCATGGAGGAACGACACTAAACCCTGCCTAGGCTTCATATCCGAGTCACGGCACCATTATGTCGCTCCCCCTCTTCGCAGAGGAACGACACAGGACCCTGCGCTGTTCTTTTGTCTGCTCGGCCCTCCCCGGGTTTGCTGCTGGTTCTTCCCGGGTTGGCTACCGACCCTTCCACCTCCGTGGAAGGGCGGTTCCCCCTGGCCGCTTTCCCCACTTCCGCGGGGGAGCGGCACACCGCCGGCCGGCTCTCTCGGGAGCTACACAGGTGTTCCTTCTAGATGTTCCCGGTGCATGTTGTCTCTCTCCTCCTTTATAGTCCTCTTCCACCAATCCCAACTCTGCTACCCACACGCCGAGTACGCTGCTCTCCTCCAATCAGGAGCAGGTCCTACAGTTTATTGGTTGAACTGGAGGCAGCTGTGTAGAAGCTGTTACTCCCTTCTCAGCGCCATATTGTGGGAAAGCAGATGCATAGAATAAGTCTTAATTCCAGTAACTTAGTCTAGTCCGAGTTGCTCCCAGTTGCTCCCCACATTAGGAACCCAAGGACTTGGGCCATCTTCTACTGCTTCCCAAGCCATAGCAGAGAGCTGGATCAGAAGAGGAGCAGCCGGGACTAGAACCAGCACCCATATGGGATGCCGGTGCTTCAGGCCAGGGCTTTAACCCACTGCACCACAGCATCAGCCCCACCAACAGACAATTTAAAGGTGTATATTAGTGTCTAGAAAATGCTTGAACTCATTAGGTTCCAAAGAAATTCAAATCAAAACCAAGAGGAGAATTCAATCTGCAGATTGGCAAAACCTGAGAAGCTGGATGACACCAAGTGTTGGTGGTAGGGAGTCGGGGAATGGGAGCTCTCACGACGCACTGGTGAGCACGGCCAAGAGCATGAGCCCAGCAATTTCCATTCCTGGAAAATATCCCAGGAACCTTCCCACACAGCAAGAATGCTCACTTTAGCTGTTGTTTGTGGTAGCCTAGAGTAGGAGATAAACTGAATGTCCTTCACTGGGAGAACAGACAAGTAAAATATGATGAAAGCACAGGACTGAATAATTATGCAGCTATTCAAAACAATGAACCACACCAGAGGTCAACTAACTAAGGTCTGTGGGCCAAATTTGATCCATTGCCTATTTTTGTACAACTCCAGCTCACAATCTAAGAATGATTTTACAATTTTAAATGGTTGGGGAAAAATCTAAAGAATGTTTGTGACACAGGAAAATTATATGATATTCAAATTTCAGTGTCCACAAAATTTTATTAGAACATAGTACCATTCATTCATGTATGTATGAGGGTACTTTAAAAAGTTCATGGGAGAATAGAATTAAAATATGTTTATTTTGGTGCAAAAAGTTTTTTGAAATCCACACATAGCTTTTCATAATATGCATTTTCCATGAACATTTTGAGGACCCCTCATATTGCCTATGGCTGCTTTGGCTACAAGAGTAGAACTGAGTATTACCACAGAGACCGTATGACCTACAAGTATTCACCAGCTCTTTACGGTGAAATATTGCTGATTCTTTTTTTTTTTTTTTTTTTTGGACAGGCAGAGTGGACAGTGAGAGAGAGAGACAGAGAGAAAGGTCTTCCTTTGCCATTGGTTCACCCTCCAATGGCCGCCGCGGCTAATATTGCTGATTCTTGAACTTGAAAAACATATAGAAATTTAGATCTACAGGCCAGCGCCGCGGCTCACTAGGCTAATCCTCCGCCTAGCGGCGCCGGCACACCGGGTTCTAGTCCCGGTCGGGGCGCCGGATTCTGTCCCGGTTGCCCCTCTTCCAGGCCAGCTCTCTGCTGTGGCCAGGAAGTGCAGCGGAGGATGGCCCAGGTCCTTGGGCCCTGCACCCCATGGGAGACCAGGAGAAGCACCTGGCTCCTGCCATCGGATCAGCGTGGTGTGCCGGCCGCAGCGCGCTGGCCACGGCGGCCACTGGAGGGTGAACCAACAGCAAAGGAAGACCTTTCTCTCTCTCTCTCTCACTGTCCATTCAGCCTGTCCAAAAAAAAAAAAAAAAAAGAAAAAGAAAAAAGAAAAAAAAAGAAATTTAGATCTACAAATCATGTAGCTGAATAAAAAACATAATTGTCTTGGTCATCCATTGCTCGTAACATGATCTCAAAACTTAATGGCTTAGGGGTCAGCACTGTAGTGCAGTGGATTAAGCCTTGGTTTGTGACACTGGCATCTTGTATCAGAGGGCTGATTCAAGTCCTAGTTGCTCTGCTTCTGATCCAGCTTCCTGCTAATGTGCCTGGGAAAGTAGCAGATCCCACCTATCCTGACTTCTGACTTCAGCCTGGTCCAGCCCTGACTTTTGTGGTCATTTAGGGACTGAACCAGTGGTTAGAAGATCTCTGTCTCTCCCTCTCTCTGTAACTCTGCCTTTCAAATAAATAAATAAATCTTAAAAAAAAAAAAAAAAGGGCACTAACCCCATCATGAGGGCTCTAGCCTCATGACCTTTTGTAACCTAATTACCTCCAAAAGGCCCTACCTCCAAACACTATCGTAATAGGGGTTAGGACCTCAGTACACGGATTTTGCAGGAACCCAAACATCCAGTCCATAAGAGAGGGGAATACCCAAAGATGTGAATACCAGGTGATCCACTGGGGCCCACCTTGGGGGCTGACTATCTCACTAAGAAATAGACTCTGATCTCTGGAAAGACACCTATTGAAAATTACAATCACGTTCACATGAAACATGACATACTTGACAAAGCTATATACAAACCAAAGATGTTAATGAAGCGGGGTGGGGGGGTTGCCGCCTGCAGCGCCAGCATCCCATGTGGGCGCTGGTTCAAGTCCCGGCTGCTCCACTTCTGATCCAGCTCTCTGCTATGGCCTGGGAAAGCAGCAAAAGATGGCCCAAGTCCTTGGGCCTCTGCACCCACATAGGAGACCCGGAAGAAGCTCCTGGCTCCTGGTTTTGTATCGGTACAGCTCCAGCCATTGTGGCCAATTGGGGAGTGAACCAGCGGATGAAAGACCTCTCTCTCTGCCTCTCCTTCTCTCTCTGTGTAACTCTGACTTTCATATAAATAATAAAATAAATCTTAAAACAGTGGGGGAAGACAGAAATGAAAGGGAGGGATCAGGAAAATATAAATAAATAAATGAGTGAATTAATGAAACAAGAGAGAAGCCTTATAACTTAAACCAGTTATAAGGGTGAGCTGTGAACAGAGATGACTAATTCAGTCCTTTATAACCAAGTCTCTGTCCCCACCACCACCGAGAGAGAGAGAGAGAAAGAGATTGAAAAAAAAAAAAAGAGGTTCCTTGTCCAAGTAGGAACTCAGCTTCCCTCATTAAGTAGAACCCTCCCTAAATGACATATCCTCATTAAACTCACGGTTGGTCTGCGAGGGTCTTCAGAGAGCTGCAGTGCCTGGCTACATAAAGATGGGTTTTGCCCATGGGTGAGGCAAGGGGACCAGAAGAACCAGCCCAGGAAGAAAACGCTCAGTTATTACCCACAGAGCTGTGCTGGTGGATGGCCCACCCCTCCCGCCAGTGTTTCTCCCTTGGCAGAGACAAAGGGCTCTCAGAGCCCTGTGAATGCCCCCGGGTCCTATTTGGTGGTGATGGCAGAATCAAAACCCTCATTTCTTTAAAAATACTTCCTATGACTTCTGGTCTTGTCACTTCTTTTGTGTATGTCCTTTAATCCCCATAAGCGCTGTCAGGTAAGACCTGTTATTTCAAGATGGTCAGAGAAATGACTTGAACAGATGTTTCAAACTGTTTTACCTCCCTGACCATTCATTCATTCATTTGGCAAATGAGTACCAACTGTGTGCCAGTTCTGGGGCAAAAGCAGTGAATAAAGCAGGCAAATCTTCCATTCTCATAAGGGTGGCAGAAGTTGGAGCAGACATTTGATAGTAAACAAGTGAGAAATGGGATAAACGAAAATGGAGTGAACCAATATGAATTATGATGCTATGAGCAGTGGTCATGGAAGACTTGCATTTGAAACAGAACTGAAGGTTGTCAAGGAGTCAGCCAGGTGAACTGCAGTTTTAGAGAGGAAACAGCAGGCGCAGAGGCTCTGAGGTGTAATAACCTTGGGGTGTTTAAGATTTGGGAGGAAGGCAGGGCCCAGATCAGGCAGGTCCTCATGGCTATTTTCAAGGAGCATGGATTGTATTCCACCTCAGTTAGAACCGACTCCATCATTGTTAGCTATATGACTTCAGGCGAGTTATTTCACTCCTCCGAGACTCAGTTTACCTACTTGTAAAGTAGGGTTAATAATCATTCATTCCATGTGACAAATAGGTTTTACAACGGCCCCTAATAGTTTTATGTCTTGCTATTTACACCCTGTGAATGCAGCTAGACCTCATGACTCATGTCTTTTCTTTTCTAATATTCTATTGTATTTTCACAGGTTATCTCAGACTGATTTATTTATTTAAAAGAAGGAGGTGCTGGCATTGTGGTGTAGCAGGTAAACCTACTGCCAGTGATGCCAGCATCCATACAGGCACCAGTTCATGTCTCAGCTACTCCACCTCTGAGCTGGCTCCCTGCTAGTGCACCTGGGAAAGCAGCAGATGATGGCTCTAGGACCTGGGCCTCTGTCACCTACATGGAAGACCCGGAAGAAGCTTCTGGTAACTGGCTTCAGCCTGGCCAAGCGCTGGCCATGTGGCCGTCTGGGGAGTGAACCAACGGATGGAAGATCTCTCTCTGTGTCTCCCTCTCTCTCTCTGTAATTATTTCAAAATAAAGACATAAATCTTTAAAAATATATAATAAAAGGTGAAGAGATAGCCAGGGATGGGCCAGGAGCCACTCAATCTTGTCTCTCATGTGGGTGGCAGGGACCCAAGTATTCTAGCAGAGTATACCTGCTACCTGTCAGGGTGTGAATTAGAAGGAACCTAGAATGGAGAGTGGAGCCAGGATTTAATCACAGGCACTCTGAATGGGAGGTGGGTATCCCAAGCAGTGACTTACCTCGGCACCAAATGCTCCTGACTCACCTCTGACTAACACAATGTAACAGAAGTGATGGTGTGAGGCCGGTGCTGTGGCGCAAAGGGTTAAAGCCCTGGCCTGAAGCACCGGCATCCCATATGGGCACTGGTTCTAGTCCCGGCTGCTCCTCTTCCAATCCAGCTCTCTACTATGGCCTGGGAAAGCAGTAAAAGATGGCCCAAGTCCTTGGGCCCCTGCACCCACGTGGGAGACCCAGAAGAAGCTCCTGGCTCCTGGCTTCGGGTCGGCGCAGCTCCAGCCATTGCAGCCATTTGAGGAGTGAACCAGCAGATGGAAGACCTCTCTCTGTAACTCTGTCTTTCAAATAAATAAAAATTAGTCTTTAAAAAACAAAAAAGAAGTGATGGCCGGCGCCGCGGCTCACTAGGCTAATCCTCCGCCTTGCGGCGCCGGCACAGCGGGTTCTAGTCCCGGTTGGGGCGCCGGATTCTGTCCCGGTTGCCCCTCTTCCAGGCCAGCCCTCTGCTGTGGCCAGGGAGTGCAGTGGAGGATGGCCCAGGTGCTTGGGCCCTGCACCCCATGGGAGACCAGGAAAAGCACCTGGCTCCTGGCTCCTGCCATCGGATCAGCGCGGTGCGCCGGCCGCAGCGCGCCGGCCATTGGAGGGTGAACCAACGGCAAAAGGAAGGACCTTTTCTCCTCTGTCTCTCTCTCTCACTGTCCACTCTGCCTGTCAAAAAATAAAAAAAATAAAAAATAAAAATAAAATAAAAGAAGTGATGGTGTATTCATTTTCTATTGCTGCTAAAACAAATTACCACCAACTTAGTGCTTTAAAATAACACACACTTCCTATTCTGTAGTTCCAAGGGTCAGAAATCTAAATGGACCTTAAGATCAAGGCGTCAGCAGGGCTGAGTTCTTTCTGAAAGCTTCAGAGAAGAATCTGTTTCCTTTTCTTTCCAGTTTGTAGAGGCTGCCGCGATCCTCAGCGGGCATCACTCCACCCTCCATCCCCACCACCACAGCATCCTTCTCATCACTGACGCTCCAGCTCTCCTGCTCTTCCTTCTGAGGATCCTGCGGTCACTCTGGTTCCATGTGTGTGACCTAGGACACCCTTCCCTGTCTCAAGATCCTTACTCACACCAGCAAATCTCTTTGGCCATGTAAGGTAACCTACGCATGGGTTCTGGGGTTTGGGACACTGACATCTCGTGGGGAGAGCGTTATTCTGTCTACCACGCATAGCTATCACGTTGTTGTGATTAGGGAATGAGAAGGTTGTGACTTCCAGGTTTCTCTCTCTCTCTCTCTCTCTCTCTCTCTCATCACTTTAGGGGAAAGTCAGCTGCCATGGCATGAGCCAGCCCTGTGGAGAGAAGCACGTGGCTGGGGACTCAGCTTCCAGCCCACAGCCAGCAAGGAAGCCAGGTGCGCCAACAGCCCTGTGAGTGAACTTGGAGTGGATCCGCATCCTCGCAGAGCCTTGAGGCCTTGAGATGGTCACAGGGCCAGCAGCAGCTGCAGCCTGGTGGGGGACCCTGAGCCTGAACCACCTACCGAAGCCGCCTCCAGATTCGTGGTCCTCAGAAACCACATGAGGGAAGAAATGTTTGGGGTTTAAGCTGCTGAGCTTTGGGTAACTGTAATTTTGCAATAACAGATGACAAACAAACTCATCAAACAAATGCATATGGAGTACCCACACTATGTGTCTTAATCTGTTTTCTGTTACCAATAATCCCATACTACAGATTGGATAAATCTGAAAGAAAAGAGGTTTATTTTGGTTTCTGGTTCTGGAGCTGTGTCTGGCAATGGCCCTCTTTCTGGCAGCATCCAGAGGCCAGAGAGGTGTCACGTGGTGAGGGAAGGAGTCCTCAGTGTATGCAGGTACCCTCTGGTCTCTATTCTTATAAGACCATTAGGCTCCAATCACAGGTCCCACCCTGATGATCTTATCTAATTCTAATCACAACTCAAAGGCCTCACCTCCAGACACCGTGGTCACATTGAGTCTCCACCATCCAATACGGCACATGAGTTTGGGAGAAGACAAACCATAGCAGCACACGCCAGGTTTTGTTTGCTGTGCTACAATACAGAGCAAACAAAACAAAGAAAAACCACTTCTCTCTTTTTTTAAATGATTCACTTATATTCACTTATTTATTTGAAAGTCAGAGTTACACAGAGAGAGAAGGAGAGGCAGAGAGAAAGAGAGAGGTCTTCCATCCACTCGCTCACTCCCCAGTTGATCACAATGGCCAGAGCTGTGCCAATTTGAAGCCAGGAGCCAGGAGCTTCCTCTGCGTCTTCCCACGCAGGTGCAGGGACCCAAGGACTTGGGCCATTTTCTACTGCTTTCCCAAGCCATAGCAGAGAGCTGGATTGGAAGTGAAGCAGCCAGGACTCCATCCAGCACCCATATGGGATGGCAGCACTATAGGCCCCTTTACTGCTCTTTTTTTTTTTTTTTTTTTTTGGACAGGAAGAGTGGACAGTGTGAGAGAGAGACAGAAAGGTCGTCCTTTGCCGTTGGTTCACCCTCCAATGGCCGCTGCGGCCGGAGCGCTGCGGCCAGCGCACCACGCTGATCCGAAGGCAGGAGCCAGGTGCTTCTCCTGGTCTCCCATGGGGTGCAGGGCCCAAGCACTTGGGCCATCCTCCACTGCACTCCCTGGCCACAGCAGAGAGTTGGCCTGGAAGAAGGGCAACCGGGACAGAATCCGGTGCCCCGACCGGGACTAGAACCCAATGTGCCGGCGCCGCAAGGCGGAGGATTAGCCTAGTGAGCCACTGCGCCGGCCTACTGCTCTTATAGAGGGAGAGAGACAGCAAACACAATAAATTACAGGCTATGTCACAGGGTGACAATTGCTATGGGAAAACAGTAGGCTAAGGGAGATAGGGCAGCCAATGAAGGCTTTGCTGAAAAGCTGATATTTAAGCAAGGGCTTCAAGGAATAGGAGGAAACCATGTTTTTCATGGGGAAAAATGTTCCAGGTGTCAGGATTCACAATGCAAAGGCCCTGTGTCCAGAACGTGCCTGATTTTCTCAAAAGGCAGTATGACTATGGATTTACTGGAGAAACTTGGTTATTTGTCCCACATCCTGGACTTAGCTGGTTGTTTCTTGTGGTATCAGATTTAGTTCGGGGGGGGGGGGCTGGAAACTGTTACAGATGGCCAATGATCAAACTTAGTGTCACCATTACAGACACACCCACAGGATGGGTCTCCTGATACGATGTAATGGGAAGGTTGTGACCTATGCAGTACCGTTCCTTTAAAGAGGTGACTGTCCTGAATGTAGTCAAGAAAAAAAATCAGGACAAATTCAGACTATGGGAGTTTCCACAAGACAACTTGCAAGGACTCTTCAAAATGTCATAAAAAGGGGGCCAATGCTGTGGCACAGCAGGTAAAGCAACCATCTGCAGTGCCGGTATCCCATATGGGCGCCGGTTGGAGTCCTGGCTGTTCCACTCTGATCCAGCTCCATGCTAATGTGCCTGGGAAAAGCAGTGGAGGATGGCCCAAGTGCTTGGGCCCCTGCACTCAGATGAAGAGACCCAGATGAAGCCTCTGGCTCCTGGCTTCCATCTGGGGAGTGAACAAGCAGATGCAAGATATCTCTCTGTCTCTATATCTGTCTCTGTCTCTCCCTCTCTCTTCTATAATCCTTTCAAATACATAATAAAAAATAAAATCTTTTTTTAAAAAAATGTTTAAAAAGTCATGAAAGAGCCGGTGCAGTGGCTCAATAGGCTAATCCTCCACCTGTGGCGCCGGCACACCGGGTTCTAGTCCCGGTCAGGGCGCTGGATTCTGTCCCGGTTTCCCTTCTTCCAGGCCAGCTCTCTGCTGTGGCCCGGGAGTGCAGTGGAGGATGGCCCAGGTGCTTGGGCCCTGCACCCCATGGGAGACCAGGAGAAGCACCTGGCTCCTGGCTTCGGATCAGTGCAATGCACCGGCCGGGCGGCCATTGGAGGGTGAACCAACAGCAAAGGAAGACCTTTCTCTCTGTCTCTCTCTCTCACTGTCCACTCTGCCTGTCCAAAAAAAAAAAAAAAAGTCATGAAAGAAAAAAGTGATGTGAACATTGATGGGATCCTGGTGACAAATAAAAAACCTGCAGCTATACAGGATACCATTGGGACAACAGGGGAAATCTGAATTCCTAGCTGTGTATGAGAGAATAGTGCTATTCCAATGTTGAGTCTCACAGGTGTGACGATGTGTTGTGACCAGCTAGGAGCTTAAGCACCCAAGGGTGCAGTGTCAGGATGTTTGCAACTCTCAGCAAAAATAAATAGAATGAAGTGTGTGTAGATAATCTGGCAAAATGCACTGACAACTGGTGAATCCCGGTAACAACCGTGGGAGTGCTGACTGCGCGGTATTAAAACGTTTCTGGATATGAATTTCTGCGAACTACAAACTGTGAGAAAAAGCAATTGCAGTTGCTCCTGCACCACAACGCCAGCCCTCGCATTCGCAGATTTGAAGGTCTCTCTGTCTCTGACACAGCTCCTGGTCCCTGCTATTGCCGGGGGTCCCAAATCGCTTCCTCTCGGGTGCAGGCCACCGGAGGCAAGAATGTCATCAAGGAAGGCTAAATTGTAGGGAGAAATGAGGGCAACGAAGGTGAGGAAGCCGCACAGGTTTGACCGATGCGGGCCAGGGGCTGCAGGGCGGTTCCTGAGCGCGGCCAGGGCTTCGCTCTGCAGGGCACCACCGCCCCCTGGTGGCCACCAGGCAGGCACGCGGCGCCCCCGCCGGGAGGTGGGAGGAGTCCTGCGCCTCTGGCTCTCTAAGGGACCCGCCCGTGAGAGCTCCAAGGCAGGTCTGTGACCCCACAATTCTAGCCTGTTCCACTGTGTCCGCGTATTTAAAAAGCATCCACTATGAGGGCCGGCACTGCGGCGTAGCAGAGTAAAGCTGCCGCCTACAGTGCCGGCATCCCATATGGGCACGGGTTTGAGACCTGGCTGCTCCACTTCTGATCCAGTTCCCTGCTAGTGGCCTGGGAAAGCCGGGAAGATGGTCCAAGTCCTTGGACCCCTGCACCCACGTGGGAGACCCGGAAGAAGCTCCTGGCTCCTGGCTTCTAATCTGCTCAGCTCCAGCCATTGTGGTCATTTTGGGAGTGAATCAGTAGACGGAAGGCCTCTCCTTCTCCCTCTCCCTCTCTCTCTCTCTCTTTCTCTCTCTCTCTCTCTCTCTCTCTGGCTCTGGCTTGGCTCTGGCTCTCTGTAACTCTTGCCTTTCAAACAAATAAATCTTAAAAAAAAAAAAAAAAAGTGTCCACTAGGAGCTGGGCACGGTGCTAAGTGCTTCACAGATATTAACTCAATGCTCACATCGGCCTGAATAGCTGAACCAGGGTGGCCCTCACTTTCCAGACAAAACCGAGGCTCAGAGAGGCAAAGCAACATGAGCAGAGATTGCACAGCCGGTCAGTACCACACCTTCTAACTCCAAGTCCAATTCTGTGCTCACTACATTCCACTACAAGCACCTGGCTCTGGCTTCGGATCAGCCGCGGTGGCCATTGGAGGGTGAACCAATGACAAAGGAAGACCTTTCTCTCTGTCTCTCTCTCTCTCAGTCCACTCTGCCTGTCACACTGTCTGCTCAGTGGTGATGGTAATGCAGTAAGGACAAGACACACCTACGGGTATTTACAGGGCTGACATGGCCAAGCATTGTGTAACACACTAACTCACTTAATTCCCAACAACCCTACCTGGTAGGCCCTCTGAGTGTGCTCACTACCTGCAGGGAAAACTGAAGGCCAAACAGTGCAAGAAATGAGCCCCAGGTCACTCAGCTACTGAGGAGTATTGCCTGGAAAAGCACTGAGGAACCCGGGGACTGCCTGTTCCACTCATAAATGGTTGTTGGTCACCTACCAGGTTGCTGAACATGTGCACAGAGAGGAGAGGGAAAGACAAAACAATGAGATTAAACTGAAAAATTTTAAAATGCAAACAGCAAGCCTAATCTATTTACAAAAATGCATTCCTGAAGATAAGAGCCTCAGCCCAGGAGAACGGAATGTTTCAAGATGTGCAGAAAATAAACACAACTGTGCGAGGCGGCCACTGTGGTGCAGCGGGGTGAGCCACCGCATGGCAAGAGTGCCTGGGACAGGGCCCCACCTCCCCATCTGGCATCTTGCTAATGTGCAACCTGCAAGGCAGCAGCTGATGGCTCAAGTACTCAGGTTCCTGCCACCCACGTGGGAGACCCAAGTGGGGTTCCTGGATCCTGGCCTATACTACTGCAGGCATCTGGGGGGTGAACCAGTGGATGCAAGAGCTCTCTCCCTCCTTCTCTCTTTCTGTTGTTCTGCCTTTCAAATAAATAAATAAACAAAACTTAAAAAAAAAATAATGTGAACAAAGTATCACTTCCTCAGGGGAGACCAGGAGAGACAGCTTCAGGGAACATAAACATTTTTATTGCAACCCACCAGCCAGATTTGATAAATCTGAATCCAAGGATTCCCTGAACGTTTACAAGCAAATAAAAGCAAGGACAGTGCCATGACCCATATATTTTCCATTCAGAAAATATAGTTTGAAGGGGCCAGCACTGTGGCATAGACCTGGATGAAGTTCTAGGCTCCTAGATTCTGTTTGGCCTAGCCCTGGTCATTGTGGCCATATAGAGAGTGAACCGGAAGATGGAAAATCTT